AAGACTATTCAAAGATTCAATTCATTCATCTATATAAAAAATAACAAGAGTACATGGGTATTCATAGGAGAAACTAGATATAGTCCCATGAGAGCTATAATTCTAACTAGGAAATAATATCTAATTCTAAGGTAACTAAATGTCTTGCATACCAAGACTTAACAAAATATAAAATACCTAACAAGCTAATAAGATCTCCTAACAATCTAATTACTCACGTGGATAATGACGTGAATAAACTAATCCTAACACTAACTATATAATAACAATTACTAATTAATTAACTAACCTACCTAATACGACTAACTACTAACCTGCTAACATATAATATAATCCTAACAACCTAATAATAACTTACGCACTAACTAAATAAACTAACTAAATACTAACACTAACAATCAATTAATAATACTAACTAATCTAATATTTAACTAAATAATAATTAATCTAATTTATAAATATCTTCTAGAATCTTCGCTACTCGGCCCGCACGGCTCGCCTCGTGCCTTCGCGCATCACATCCACGTACGCCACCTCGTGCTCGGTCGCGCGCCACCTTAGTCTCGTTTCCAACTCCCCGGCTTGATAGGCCCAATCTCATAAGATCTAGGCCCATTCGCCTTTCGGCCCATCGCTTGCATCCATGTGCTTGAGTGCCTTGTCGTCTACCTGCAGGGTTTCTAGGTCTCGGCCATGCGCGTCTTGATCTCGTGCGATAAGCCCGAGACCATGCGTGTATCCACGGCTCACGTTGCCTTCCTCGTAAACCTCGCATACGGGCTCGTACCCGTCTTTTAGGCCATGCATGCGTGGTTTTGGCCCTTTTCTCAGCCTTTTCGGATTGCCTCGCCATCGGCTCTCGGTGTGCTCAGGCCTCAAAAGCCACTTCCGCATCATTCCTCCCCCCTTCGAATGAGTCCTTGTCCTCAAGGACTCGCCAATGACCATTACTTGGGGCGTCGCCATCACTTCATCTGTATTGTCATCCCCGTGCGTCTCGTCATCATGGCCCTCTTCGACCACGACCAAAATCTCCTCCTCGACCTCGGCTTTACTCTTGGCATCGATAATTGGTTGGGACATCGCCTCCTCTTCGACCTTTAGGATTTCGAACGTAACCTCTTCATGGCCCTCCTCATCCTCGACTCCATCGGCCTCGCTCATAACCTCTTTGTTTAACGAGTGCGGTTTCTCGTACTCGACCGGCTCGACCGTAATTTCCACCTCATACTTATCGGGCTCAATCAATTCGACCTTCGGCTCCTTCTTGGACTTGCCTTGGGCCTTACCGCATAGTCTTAATTCCTTCGACACATAGGTGTTGCTCGGCTTGTGTCGCTGGGGTCGTTCGCGTACGTGCGGCTGCGGTGGTGGCCATCCCCTTTGGTGTTGGAGGTGGCGCGCCACTTC